AGAAAAGTGAGATCACAATTCTAATGAAAATAAAAACAAAAAATAAAAACTTCAATCTAGCTAACTAAAGAAAAACTCAATGTTAACTTAAAACAATTCCCCAGCAACGGCGCCAAAAACTTGATGCGTGTTTCTTACAACATGCAAAATGTAGCAAGTAACTAGTCGCTCAAGTAATAAAGATGAGAAAGAGTATCGTTCCCAGAGAGATTGTTAGCAAAGCACTGAGTTTCCTAATGTTCTCAAGTTGAAGCAATCGAATTCTTGGATTGGTGGGAGCAAATTCTAATTAAAAACAACAATGAATTTTAAACTAAGATTTAAAACTTAATTAAGAAAGCAATATGGAAAACGGAATATCAATTCAAGCAAAACGGGTAGGTTTTGACTTCGTTTGGATTTTTATGGTTAAACCTAAAAATTACACTACTTCACATTCATATGCATGGTTGTAAATCGAACTCACTATATGTTAAACATACCCTATCGGGCTATATCTTCCTATTCTTCCTTATTAACCTTCCGCACCCAACAAATTGAAGATTAATAATTCCAAACTCATTAAGCAAAAGAATCCTATATGATTTCATTAATTCTTGAATCTATCTCTAGCATCCAATACTATAATGGTGATTACCCAAGACCTAACATGATTCATTTCTCAATCTCACCATGTTCATCACATACACATTTAAAATCAAGTAACACACAACCAAAGCATATTCATATGAAAATAACACAATCAAACCCTTAACCCATTTAAAATCCAAACTACCAACAAAACCCTAACCCAAAAATGATTAGTTCATAGCTAAATCAATAATACACAACGAAAATCGGAATAAACAAGTTCAACATAATGAAAATGAGATAAAAGATTAGAAATCTCCCCAAAAGATGAATCCTCAGTTAGAAATCGAATCTTCTTCCTTTTACAAACCAAATCGCTCAAAGTTCTTAGAAAGTGCAAAAGTGGCTAAACCTAAAACAAATGAAGGCCCTCGGCAAAAAGACTAAGTTTTTCTTTTATACTTCGTCCAAATAACCCGCCAAACCGCACAGCACGAAACTGTGCGTTTAACAAAACTGAAATAATGACTGTCGCCGCTGCGAAGAATGAAGCAGACACGCTCGTCCCTGGCTTACTTCACCACGGCGAAGACAATTCCTTCGCCGGGGCGAAGCTTCTTGAAGAGTTCTGAAATTACAGAACTGCCACTCTGCTTGCTTCTTTGCTTTATTCTTCGATTCTCGGTGCTCTCCCTTGGAAACAAACTTCATCGTACTTTATCCTGCTCCAGAACTCTCCTATCTTCTAAGATCCGTTAATTTCTGAGTCAAAAATATCTAATTTTGTCCTTATTTGCTCCAATTGTCCATTTTAACCTGAAATACGAAAAGTAAAGAATTAAGCAACAATTCAGGTCAAAATGCACTAGAAAGTACCTGAAATTCGACAAAAAGGTATAATGAAAAGTGTATAATTCACGGATTATCAGTAAGTAAACCAAATCTAACTATGCTCTTACTCTGCTGTCCCCGTTTTCGTTGTACTGTTTCTAAATTTCTGCTTGCTTTCTCTCTTTATTCTCAGGCGTACTACTTAGCAGTCTTCTATTTTCCTCAAATCTTTCTAAATCCTTCTAGTGTTGTGCTATTCTTTATCATTTTATATCTCTTCTCTACTAGATTATAACTTTTTGTTTCTTTCTCTACTCAACAAATCGCTAAGTTACCTTGCTATTTGTCATGTTTATAATTTATGTTCTTTTCTAGTATGTATCTAATTTCTTTCATTTTCTTGTATATCTCTAATTTCTTTTCTATTCTCATGGGTTTCTATTTTCTTTTCTTCTCTATTCTCATGGGCTTCTATTTTCTTTTCTTCTCTAATCTCACAGGTTTCTATTTTCTTTTCTTCTCTAATCTCACAGGTTTCTATTTTCTTTTCTTCTCTATTCTCGTGGGCTTCTATTTTCTTTTCTTCTCTATTCTTTCTTTTCTTCTCTATTCTCACGGGCTTCTATTTTCTTTTCTTGACTAGTTAGACATGCAACAATAAAATAAAATGTTTAATCTATGCATAAATGCATAAGATGCAATGCACATAAAATGTCTGATGCATATGCAAATGATCATGTTTGTATTCTTTCTGAAAATTCTTTTCTAATTCTTTTCCTTTCTTTCTGAAATTCTTTTTGTTTTCTATTTCTTATTCTATTTTTCTTTCTTTCTGAAATTATTTCTGTATTTTATTTCTTATTCTATTTTCTTTCTTTCTAAAATTCTTTCTGTATTCTGTTCTGGTTTGCCGATTGGACTAGGCTGAGGCATGAATTTGGAACCTTGGCCGTGTGAGCATATTCTGAAATTCTTTTTGGATACAGTACTCATCCACATGCACTTCTAGTGGACTGTACAATTCTGTTTTCTATTCTAAGGCCGCTCACTGATGGCGGTGTGCATGTGGGAAACTTCTGCATCTCTATCGCCACTAGCTACTGTAGCGAACGCTCACAAGTTCCCCCATCGCAATAGCCCTCTGAAAACATGCTCTGTAAATCTGCAAAATAACTAGCTAGACATTTCCAATAATTATAAAATTTCTGAAATATATGTTATGCTATGTCATGCATTTATATGCTGTCTATGCATGATCTCAAAATACGTGTCTGACTCTGGCATGTATTCTATTAATTCTAAGGCTTTTATTTCTATACTTTTCTGAAAAGCCCAAAGTTCTATTCTACCAACACGCTTAAATTGAACATTTTCTATTTTATTCTTTATTTCTGAATTCTATGCATCGTGTGTACGCACATGATTCTATCATTTCTACATAATTATGTAATTCTTCAATTCTATCATGCTATGTAAAAAGTACACGTGCACAAGTACATTAACTCTTACAAATTCTACTCTTTAATATTTTCTAATGTAACAAACATGTCTTGTACAACTTTCTAAATACAAATCTTAATGCCATAAATTTTCATTCTCTTAACATGACCATCAACATTATTATACATGCCCTTCTTTCTTCTTTTCTTTTGGCTACATTCTATACATTAATCTATATTGCCATGTTAATCATTGTAAATCCAATCTAACATATGGCACAACATATATAATTTGGCTAAATTCTAGTTTCTTTCTAACATTCTTAACTAAACTTTTGGCCAATATAACATATTCTCAAGATCTTCTATGACAATTTTATAGCTTGTAATATATAGGAAGGAATGAAAACTATACCCATACCAATCAATTTCTAAAATGGTCATGTATTTAATATATAAACTAAACTTCTATTTCTTTGATGTTTCTTTGATATTTATACTTGGGAACGCTTTTCTACTCTTTATACAATAAAATCACTTCTTACATATTATTTATAACTAATCTCAAAAAAAGAAACAACAATATATTCATTTGGCCAAGCCATTCTTTGAATGATATTTCTAATTTCAAGCATACAAACTTGACAATTTATGGTGGCATATTGTAACATTATAATATAATCACCCATCTTTTACTATCATCAATACTACACTATTGCAACAATTTAATATGCAATTCTTGCCATCATTTTTCTAAAGTCATAAGTTTCAAAACTCATAATTCAATGACTAAATACAATATGTCATTCAAACTAATACTAAAAGTTCAAGCAACTTGAACCATGCACTAAAAGTCATTCTATAGTCGGCTTCTGCTGAGGAGAAAGATACAGTTTTCTACCTCTTTGTCCTCTAGGAAATAAGAGAAAAAGATCCCAAAAAAACACAATAACCCGTAGTGGATCTACAAGATATTGGACAACCAGCCCAATTTGAATCAGAAAAAGCTCGCAAAGATAAATCATTCTGAAAAGGGAAAAACAAACCTTGTCTTGGACTGTTTTTCAAATAACGCAATACATGCAAGGCAGCTTCCATGTGTGGTCTCTAAGGTGCATGCATGAATCTACTTAACACATGGACCGAATAGGTGATATCCGGCTGGGTAATAGTCAAATAAATTAGGCATCCAACAAGTTGCTTATACTGAGATAGATCTTTAAGCAATTCACCTAAATCCGAGAGCTTTATGTTTTGTTCCATGGGAAAGTTCACAGGTTTAGCACCCAAAAATCCTTTATCTTTTAAAATTTCCAAAGTTTATTTTCGTTGCGAGATGGAAATACCTTTCTTCGACCGAGAAACTTCGATGCCCAGAAAATATTTCAAATCACCCAAATCTTTAATCCGAAAATGACTATGTAGAAATTGCTTGAGAGCTAATATGGCATTGACATCATTACCCATAATAAGAATGTTGTCAACATATATCAACAAAGCTGTAAAAGATTTGCCTTTCTGACATGTGAACAACGAGTAATCTACTTTGGATTGAACAAAGCCAACAGATTGGATAGCTGTAGAGAACTTTGCAAACCATTGTCAGGAAGCTTGCTTTAAGCCATATAACGACTTGTGAAGGCGACATACTAGATTCTCCCCCTGTTGCTGAAGACCAGGAGGTGGAGACATATAAATTTCTTCATGGAGACCACCATGAAGAAAAGCATTGTTGACATCAAGTTGGTGAAGAGACCAATTCTGGGCAGCTGCTAAAGCCAATAAACAATGAACAGCAATCATTTTAGTAGTGGGAGAAAAAGTGTCATGGTAATCTATACCTTCTAGCTATGTGTAACCTTTTGCAACCAAACGAGCTTTGAAAAGCTCAATAGTACCATCCGAGTGCCATTTGATTTTATAAACCTAACGACAACCAATAGGCTTCTTACCAGGAGGAAGAGAAGTGAAGGACCAAGTGTGGTTAGCTTCTAAAGTAGCCAATTCAGATTGCATTACTTCTTACCAATCTGAATGAAAAACTGCTTCTGTATAAGATGTAGGCTCAATATCTTGACTAACAGTAGCAGTAAAAGAGCAATGTTGTGGTGAGTAACGATGATAAGAGAGAAAATTGCAAATGGGATATCACGAACCTTTTTATGGACTTGATGACAAAGGCGGCAAATGGTTGGGACATGTTACTTGGTTGCAGAAAAAATCACGTAAAGCCATGGGAGGGTGATGAGGTCTTTGAGAGCAGCGTAAAATGGGTTCGGGAGGAGGACTAGTAGGTGATGGCTGAGGAGAAGCTACATTTGGTGGTAAGGGTTGTTGGGCAGGAGAAATTGGTTCTGGTGGTGAGGGTTGTTGGACTGGTGGGGAAGGATCAGATACAAAAAGAGGAATCACAGGGGTTGAATTTGAGGAAGTGGATGGAATGGACTCATAAGAAAAAATAGTTTCATGAAAAACAATATCACGGCTAGTGAACATTTGGTGTGTGGCAAGGTCATAAAGCATGTAAGCTTTCTGACCAACTAGATAGCCAAGAAAAATACATTGTTTGGCTCGAGGAGCGAATTTATGGGGGACATGCACATCAGTAGCATAGTTAAGGCACCCAAAAACTCAAATATGGGAATAAAAAGGAAGCTTACCATAAAGTCGTTCAAAAGGTGTTTGGCGAGAAAGGAGTGGTGTGGGCAAACGATTGATTATATGAACAGTAGTAGAAACACATTTTGCCTAAAAATGTAAAGGAAGGTGGGCTTGAAAACGAAAAGCTCTAGCGGACTCAAGAATATGGCGATGCTTGCGCTCTACAACCCCATTTTGTTAAAGAGTATAGACACAAGAATGTTGGTAAGTGGTCCCTTTTTGTTTAAAAAATTCCCACATAGAGAAGAATTCTCCACCATTATCAACCCGAATGTTGGCTATAGAAACAGGGAATTGTTTTTGGACAAATGAGAAAAAATTGACAAGTAAATGTTGTGTTTCACTTTTGTGATGCATAAAAAATACCCATGTGAATCTAGAATAATCATCCACAATAGTAAAAAAATATTTCGCACCAGAAAGAGAGGCAATTTTATAGGGGCCCCAAATGTCACAATGAATTAAGTCAAAAGGTCTAACAGACAACATTGAACTAACAGAAAATGGAAGTCGACTTTGTTTTGCAAGTGCACAAACATCACAAGCATTATTAGACTGAAAAGGGAAATTTAAAAAATGCTTTGCCATAAAATCTAATCTAGAGGAAGACAAATGCCCCAATTGACGATGCCACAAAGCGGTGGAGGAGGTGACCTGAGAACTGGGTGAACGGCAAGAAGTGGCTGCTGCGGATGGAGTTTGAGGTTTTGGCTTCTCTGACACTAACGCAACCAAGTAATAAAGTTCGTCTCGTTGTTCACCCAAACCAATCGTGGTCCTCGTCGTCAAGTCCTGCAAAATACACCAATGAGGGAAAAAAGTTACTAAACAATTTAGATCTCTGGTAACTCGACTCACAGACATTAAATCTACCTTAAAAGATGGCACACCAAGCACATTTTTTAAAGTAACAGCAGAATTCAAAGGTAAATTCCCAATGGATGTAATCAGAGCCTGTTCTCCACTTGGCATAGCAACTGATGCCAAAAAAGTGTTCTTACTGTTGTTAACAAGCAAAGTTGGGGATGAAGTAATGTGGTATGTGGCACCACTGTCTATAATTAATTGATGGAGGTGCAACAATGTTTGTAACAAACCTGAGGAAGCAACATTAGCTTTAGGATTGGCGGATTGTGTTGTCCCTTTACCCTAAATGATAGATAACATTTGCTGGATTTACAAATCAGAGAGCCCATTTGTCACCGACGGCACTTCTTGCATTATTGGACTTTCCTTAACATTGTTGACTGAAGATTGATGGCTACGGTTGTGCTTGAAATGAGTGTTTCCTTGATTAGACATGTTTGATGCATGTTTAGGGTGTTCTGGTGGGTACCCATTCAGCTTCCAACATGTTTCTCGTACATGATGGTCACGGCCACAATAAGAGCAATGCAAAGGTTTTCGATTAGATGGGTTGGAACGAGAAGAAGAACCTTGTCCATGTCAAACAGCCAGAGCCACCAGTTCAACCCTTCGAACAACCATGGATGAGTTCTTCGTCCTCTCATATGCAACCCCCAAGCTTCGCTGCTTCTCCTCTTGTATAATGGAAGAGTAAGCCTTGGCAATATCAAGTAGTGGATTCATCAACAGAATTTGCCCTCTGATTGCACTGTAGGACTTATTGAGTCCCATGAGAAATTGCATCAATCTGCGTCTCTTATGGTCTGCCGCACAAGAGCAAACGGTGTCATTATAGGATCCTAGTTCATCCCATAATTTTTTTAGCCTTGTGTAATAAGCTGCAACAGTCATCTAATCTTAAGCAAGACAAGCAATGTCCCTTCAATCTGAAAAATGCGAGGGGGCATTGCTTTAAGAAAAACGATCCTGAAGGTCTTCCCATACCTCCTGGGTGGTGGTCGAAAAAATAACACTGTCTACAAGGTCCTGTGTGAGTGAATTGAGAATCCAAAAGAGGATCATATCGTTGCATTTTTTCCACGAAGCATAGTCGTTTGGTTTGGCTGTGGCAGACGGCATTGTGGTGGTCCCGTCTATGAAACCTAACTTGGATTTGGCATTCAAAGAAATCGTCATGGCTCTATACCATATCGAATAATTATCCCAATTGAGGGATTTGGAAACAAGCACCATTCCTGGATGATCGAAATGATGAAGAAAATATGGATTTGCAGCATCAAGCTTGCCTCCATTCGAAGGTTGCTGTTCTATCATGATAATGAGAAACAGCAATAAAAAGAAGGCAAAAAGAAAGGGGGTAGAGGCAGAGAGCTAGGGTATCGTTCCCTGCTCTGATACCATGTAAAGAAGAAAAATAATATTTGCCTTTGAATAATTTTATTAAATTAGGAGACGTAGCTTTATACAAGAGATTTCCTACAATCATGCTAATCTATTCTAGGTAGTCTAAGTATAAAAGACAACTAAACAAATATACAATTAATATAATATATTTGTCAATGAATGGTAGTCTATAAAAGGCAACTAAACAAATATACAACTAATGAAATATATTTGTCAATGAATGGCCAGATATCATTGACCTTCCCTTCTCAACAGCATTTGCCATCCTACTGCTTTACACGAGACAACAAACCTTACATAAGCCTTGACATGTGGAAGACATGCTGCCCAACTTCTGTTCAAATGGGTTGTCTTGACTGTTGTTTTTACTTTTAAACATCCACCTTAGTTGATATCTCCAACTCCAAATGTTCAATCTCAAGAATTTGATTATTGTCAAAGATGAACATGACTGAAGCAGATATCAACAGTAAAGGAAAACGGTGGTCTCTCAAGGGAATGACCGCTTTAGTCACCGGTGGAAGCCGAGGCATAGGGTCGGTGACCTCAAATATAATTTTTCGTTTTCCGTTTCATTAATCAGTTGTTTATCATTTTCTGTAAGTCCCATTTGTTTTTGTATTTGGAGTTAGGCATGCAATAGTAGAAGAACTAGCAGGATTTGGTGCAGTTGTCCACACTTGTTGTCGTAACCAAAAAGAACTTGATCGATGTCTACAACAATGGAAAACCATGGGTTTTACAGTGACAGGATCAGCATGTGACTTGTTTTACCCTGACCAAAGGGAGAAATTGATGGAAACTGTCTCCTCTCTCTTCCAGGGAAAGCTCAACATCCTTGTGAGTTTATTGAAATACATATCAGATTGTAAATTCTGCAAGTTCTTATGATCTCTAACTTGGCCTTCCAACATCTAAAATTTATTTATTTATTTCTTTAAAATTTCATACTTTTTTAATGGAAATGGTCGATTTGCTTAGGTGAATAATGTTGGGACAACTATCCGAAAAGAAGTTGTAGAATTCACAGCTGAAGATTTCTCAACTATTATGGTTACAAATTTTGAGTCTGCCTACAATTTATGTCAACTTGCGCAACCCCTTTTGAAAGCTTCAGGATATGGAAGCATTGTATTTAATTCCTCCATTTCAAGTTCTGTGGCTATATCTCTTTCATCTATCTATGCAGCATCTAAAGGTATCTTTTTAATGGCAAACTTCGTCTTTCTGTTTCCAGGAATTCGCATATCTGCTGATGTTTTTACCTTTTTATTGTTTCAGGAGCTATGAATCAATTTACAAAGAACTTGGCATGTGAGTGGGCAAAAGACAATATAAGAGTTAATGCTGTTGCACCTGGCCTAATCAGAGTAGAGAGACCGAAATCCATGATGGTACAAACCTCTCCCCTGTTCTCCCCTTTCGTGAGAATGGATGAAATCTCTTATAACATATCTTTTGTTCATCATAAGGAGTCTGATCTTAATCTTTGCTTGCTTTCTTCTTTAGTTTTCATATGTAAAATCTTAAGTCAATGTTTTGGTTGATGCAATGATGTTCATTTATGAATCCATCAAAGTTTTCACTATTGCTGCATTAAATTAAGATTCCTCTTTTCACAGGAAGATCCTAAGAACAAGAAGGGCTATGATGACGTGATGTCTCGCACTCCGATGCATCGTCCAGGAGAACCTAATGAAGTTTCATCATTGGTGGCATTTCTTTGCTTTCCTGCCGCTTCATATATCACAGGGCAGATAGTCTTTGTTGATGGAGGATATACTGTGAGTGGTTTCAGCACTTAAACAGAAATCCTTCAACAATCTTGCTGAGACTACAAGGTCGGTCAAGAGCTATAATCTGAATTATGCTTTTTCAAATAACCTTCCCTCTTGTAAGGACCCAAGTTTGTTTGTTGTTTGAAGAGAAATTGTTATTGAATATCATATGAATTATGCACTTTCTCTTCATCAAATAAAAAGTTTTGAATTCTTTCAAAAGGTAGTACGATTAAACGAGACCTGGAAATTCAAATGAAGATATCGTATATAACCTCAAATTTCAGTCAAAATCCAGGAATTGAGAAAGAAAAAAAACTTCTAAGCCTGCTCCTTATTTCCCATCTTCCCTCTTATAATATATGAGTTGTATGCATCAAGGCAAGTCCTTACTGTTAAAGTTCACTTATCCAGTTTGTAGTTCTGGCCCCATGAAGCTGGATCAAGATGACTTGGCCCCTGGAAGCTTAATAGACCCAGGCTTGGCTTTCTAAGTATTTAAGTCCCTGAAATTTTATGATCATCATCTCCTTCATATAAAAATCAGAGGCCTGGACGTAGCTATTCCCTTGAGTCGCAGCAGTAATTCATATCTAGAAAAATTATTTTAGAAAAACATCAGGATCAAAGTAAAATGACTAACGATCAGATTAGAGAAGGTTAATTGCTTATTACATAGGGCGAGTTGGGACTCACGTTGACAGGTCATATTAAGCATTTTCCACAGGACCACAAGCAAGAATTTATGCAAACATAAATTCATGATAAGAAAGGTGAATGAATTTAGAGTAATTTTTGTTCAGGTTGACACTTTGACAGATATTATTAAGTATTCTCCAAAAGGCCACAAACAGCAATTCAGAGCATACAGAAATTTATGAGTAGAAAGGTTTCTTGGTTTGTATTTCAAGTGTGTGGCACTAATCAATAATTGACATTTTAATTCACAATACTATATCATCATCAATATGATAATTTACGATTCGTATCACATTATACGGCTCTTCTGTGACTTGTGTCACAGAAATTCGATAACTAGCAAAGATAATCATGGGAGAAGAAGCGATCAACATGAAAGAAAGAAGATGGTCTCTCAAAGGAATGACTGCTCTCGTAACAGGAGGAACCCGAGGCATAGGTTTGGTAACCGTAGAAACCCAAAAAAAAATCTTCCTTTATCAGTTGCTTCAATATAAATCAATGCATTGACACAATAATTACACAAATAGATTATTAATCTTTTTTCATTTCTGTGTTGGGCATTAAGGCATGAAATAGTTGAAGAATTGGCAGGATTTGGTGCACTTGTCCACACCTGCTCTCGTAACCAAACAGAGCTAGATCAGTGCTTACAGGAAATGGAAAAACATGGGGTTTACAGTGACAGATTCAGTATGTGATCTGTTAGGCCGTGGCCAAAGGGAAAAATTAATGGAAACTGTCTCCTCTGCCTTCCATGGGAGGGTCAACATCCTTGTAAGTGTATGATTTAGATGCTTGCCACCATAATGAAAATTTCTTTAGTGAATTTATCCAGCTCTAAATCTATATTCTTGGCTTTTCAACATGCCCACACCCGTCTAAAATTGCTTCAATTTTCTCACTTTACTCTTTGTCCATAATTTGCCTAGGTGAACAATGCCGGGACAGCTATTGCAAAAAATGCGGTAGAATTCACCGCTGAAGACAATGGCTATAGATGGTATAAATTTCTTCTGAAGTCCTCAATTGCTTTATCTTTAAAACCCATCAAATTTCACACTACTGCTCTATGACTTCAATATTTTTCTTTCCACAGGATATACTGTAAATGGATCTTTCTAATTAAATAAGGATTATGTTTGTCCGGAAACGAAGTTTGTCCATTGTGTTGATCTTTTGCTTGTTTCATTATAAAGTGAACTTAAGGGATGGTGATCCTCAGGTATTAGGCAAACTAAAAAAACAAAGTTGATGGTTTATCACTTTATAGCACCAGCAGGTACCTACTGAGATATTTTAGAAGCCCTGTCCTGGATCCCGGAAAGTTGTATCTGAATGTCTGATCCAGTTTGTAGTTTTTGGCAACAAGACGAGTTGGGCCCTGGAGGCCTAATGCAACCAGGGGTTTTGCGTTGAATGAAGTCTCCATGAAGTATGAACAGGGATAGTAAAATTGCAGGTTTTGGATAGGTTCAAGTTAGGGGTGAGCGATTCCGAGTATCCTGTATTTTTCGGGAGAACCAAAACTGGAATCACACAGTGCAAGTTCCCAAAAAAAGGAACCGAAACCAAAACCGCACAATACAGGTTCTTAAATTTAAGGAACCGGAACCTGAAATGCAGGTTCCGGTTCCTTTTCCGGGTACCCTATAGAAAATCAATTACCCTCTATTAGTTTAAAAAATGACAAAAATACCTTAAACATTTACAAATACACCCCTAACAAATTTTGATTACTCATTCATTTGTATCCAATGTAACTCATGAATCCTCTAATCTCTAGGCAATACTTGAATTCAATTAATTCATCACAATTAATATAAAATTCCTCAATCAAAACCAAAACACAAACAATTATTCATCACAATTCACATCAAATAACTTCATCAAAATCATTCAAACAAACAATAATATAGAAAGTTAAAAACTGTCACCAACTTCTTTGATTCTCCCCCAACTAAATACTAATGTAGTAAATTTAATGTTATAAATTATTAATGTTTATAATGTAATATAGTAATGTTGTAATTAATTAAGTAATTATTTAATTATAATGTAATGTTATAATTAATTAAGTAATCATACTATACATTTATAATATAATTTTATAATTAATTAAATTTCTAATTATTTAATTAAATATTGTACTAATATTTATAATGTAATGTTATAATTAGTTAAGTAATCATACTATAAATTTATAATGTAATGTTACAATTAATTAGATTTTTTAACCATTTAATTAAGTAATGTACTAATGACTAATGTAGTAAATTAATAATGTTTATAATGTAATTTTATAAATTTATAATTAATTAAGTAATTATTTAACAATAATGTAATGTTATAATTAATTAAATTTCTTATCATTTAATTAATTACTAATGTTTAATGTTTATAATATAATGTCATAATTAATTAAGTAATAATTTAATTATGTAATGTTATAATTAACTAAGTGATTATACTACACTGTAAATTATAATGTTATAATTAATTAAGTAATATACTATTTAACTATAATGTAATATTATAATTAATTAAATTTCTAATCATTTAATTAAGTATTGTACTAATGTTTATAATAGAATGTTATAATTAATTAAGTAATCATATTATAAATTTATAATATAATGTTATAATTAATTAAAATTCTAATCATTTAATTAAGTATTGTGTAAATTACTAATGTTTATAATATAATGTCATAATCAATTAAGTAATCATTTAATTATGTAATGTTATAATCAATTATGTGATCATACTGTAATGTAATATTATAATGAATTAAGTAATCATACTATAAATTTATAATTTAATATTATAATTAATTAAATTTATAATAATTTAATTAATATACTAATATTTATAATGAAATGTTAGAATTGATTAAATAATCATACTATAAATCTATAATGTAATGTTATAATTACTTAAATTTTTAATCATTTAATTAAGTAATGTAATAATGTAGTAAATTATTAATGTTTATAATGTAATGTTATAAATTTTAAATTTATAATTAATTAAGTAATTATTTAACTATAATATGATGTTTAATTAATTAAATTTCTAATCATTTAATTAAGTAATCACTTGTTTATAATGTAATGTTATAATTAATGTTTATAATATAATGTCATAATTAATTAAATAATCATCTAATTATGTAATGTTATAATTAATTATGTAATCACACTATAATGAAATGTTAGAATGAATTAAGTAATCATAGTATAAATCTTTAATATAATATTATAATTAATTTGTTTATAATATAATATTATAATTAATTAAGTAATCATTTAATTATAATGTAATGTTATAATTAATTAAGTAATCGTACTATAAATTTATAATGTAATGTTATAATTAATTAAATTTATAATCATTTAAGTAAGTATTGTGCTAATGTTTATATCGTAAATTAGTAATTACTAATGTTTATAATATAATGTCATAATCAATTAAGTAATCATTTAATTATGTAATGTTATAATTAATTATGTGATAATGTTATAGTGAATTAAGTAATCATACTATAAATCTTTAATACAATATTATAATTAATTAATTTTTTAATCATTTAATTAAGTATTGTATTTAATGTTTATAATGAAATATTATAATTGATTAAGTAATTATACTATAAATCTATAATGTAATGCTATAATTAATTAAATTTCTAATTATTTAATTAAGTAATATACTAAATGTTATAAGTCAATTAATTAAGTAGTAATCAATTAATATAATGTTATAATTAATTATACTATAAATCAATTAAGTAATTTTTTAAAATTATAATTAATTAAGTAATCATTTAACTATAATGTAACGTTGTAATTGATTAAGTATGATATTTAACTAGTAATTAAATTTATTAATGTTTATCAATTTATCATATATAATTGATTAATGGCTAATTTACTATAGATATACTTAGAACTTGATAATTGAAGTAAATAACTAAATATATGATTATTCAATCAAATATACTATTTTATTCAAAAATAATTCTTTTAATAACATTAAAACACTTTTAGTTGGATCCTAATTCCAATTATACATTTAATTAATCAAAACTTTAATATTAATATATTATAATATATTAAAGTTTTTAATATAGTGTAGTTTATATGTAATAAGTATAATTGTATATTTATTTAATTAGGTTATTCTAAAAATTTAACTTTTTTCTATTTTGATTTTTTTTATATGTAAAATAACAGAAACCCCCCATTATTCAAAAAAATTTCATTACAGCCCATGTTCCAAAATAAGTTCCAAAAATCAGTTCCAAATAGGTTCTAAACCGGATACCCGCTACAGGTTCCAAGCAGGTTCCAAACCAGGTACCCGTTTCAGGTTCTTTTTCCAGGTTCCAGTTCCGGTTTCTCCAAACATAAGAACTAGAACCGCATAGTATCGATTCCAATAAAATGGAACTAGAACCTACCCACACAGTACCGATTCCGGGTAGGTTTCAGTTCCGGTTCTGGTTCTACCCGCAGGTTTCAGTTCTACCCACTATCCGTGCTCACCCCTAGTTCAAGTTCAACCCATATCAAAGTTAGCTTCAAGGCATGTTACAAATTGTCGCTTTTATTAAGAAATTATTTGCGCCCACCAATTGTGTGATGCACTGGGCCTTGCAAAGTCTCCAGGATATGAAGCACGATTATGTTTGCTTGCGTTGTGCATCGACAAAAGCAAACTCGAATACAACTCCTGAATTTTACAAGCCTGCCAAAAATCAGAATTCTATTTCTGTAGTAATAGAACACCGGATTTTATGCTAGAAAACTACGAATAATTTATGCAATGAAAGATTTAGAGAACGGTGGAAAAAAAATAAAGACTTTTCACTAGTTCTGTATGTACAGAAAATGGCCACACAAAGATCTTATTTATAATATTATAGGCACCAATTGGCTCACAACCTTTCATTCATGTCATTTCATTTTTAGCCATAGGATTAAAGTTTAAATCTAATAAATCAACACAACCTCATGGATATGTCCCTTCAAAAGGACACTACCATTAGCCAACTATTTAAATTGTATGTCTTTTCCAAGTGACATATTAGTGCCTTTCTATTTTGTATTTATTTATTATGAAAATTTTCTAACATTTGCTTCCTTATTTGATGCCAATTTTTTTTTTTTTTTTTTTTTTTTTCTACAAATAAGATGATCTGTCACTTAACATAATTGTGTTCCAATCATTTAAATGTATGGGTACCCACAACCTGACCTGACTCGACTTGACCCATTCTTACTTCTTTCAAGATTCAGTTAGATTGAATATTGACTAAGATGCATGCCTGAAAACCAGACCGAACCGGTCGGTCGGACCAGTGACCAACGCCCTCTCTAGTCCAGTTTAGATTGTAGGGGTGTTTTGATGGATTTTAAACATGTAGGGACTATTGGTAATTTTTGGGGTGTTTTTATGAGGTCAAACTTGCGGGACTAATAGGGATCTTTTTGTTGGATTTCAAATCACCCTGATTTTGTCGATTTTGGTGCCAAACAACCCACTTGACACCACCATGGACATCACCTTCATCTAACATCAAAACCCCCATCATCCTGAAGTATGATTGGCCACGATCATGTTGCTACCAAACACAAAATCGGTAAATTCTTCCTTGATTCGGCCGATTTCGGCGGAACACCACCATCGGCGTCACCTTCATCTCCACATCAAAACCCTCATCATCTCAAACTTCGATTGGCTGCCAGTCACCGTCGCAGTCTAATTCGCGATTTCTTGCCCATATAGCAGGGGTGTTTTGCTAGATTTTAAACTTTTAGGACTTAATGGTAATTTTGCAGGGGTGTTTCTGTTAAGTTTCAAACTTTTGAACCGTGGTAACCCGGTGAGACCAGTTCGACTGGCAAAAACTGGAACCGGCCCCTTGACTGGGTCCTGTGGTCTGGTTTCAAAACCTTGCTAAGAAGTGGCTTAGCGTATTGGTAGGTAATTATTTTGTAATAGGCATGTTTCAGAATTCGGATTTTTCAGACAACCAATCCTTCTTGACTGCCACAAAAGGAAGAAATTAACTTCAGAAAAGTTTATAGCCTTGACACGTGGATCCCATGACTTAAAGGTGGTTGGCTTAAACATCCATTTAGTTCCTATTTAATATATCAGGCTCCATCACAGATATCATACAACTAAATAAAAAAGATAAACATGGGAGAAGCAGTTCTCAAAATCAAAGAAAAAAGATGGTCTCTCAAAGGAATGACGGCTCTGGTAACAGGAGGGACCCGAGGCATAGGGTTGGTCACTGAAGAAATTCACCAAAAAAATTATTTCTTCTTTTTTCAATTTCTTGAATTTAAATTAATGTCTAGAAAGAGCAGTATTTTTAACTTTTCTCATTAATCTTTTTCATTGTTGGGTTGGGAATTAAGGCACGCCATAGTAGAAGAATTAGCAGGATTTGGCGCGCACGTCCACACCTGCTCCCGTAACCAAACAGAGCTTGATCAATGCTTGAAGGAATGGAAAAGCATGGGTTTTACAGTGACTGGATCAGTATGTGACTTGTTAGATCGTGCCCAAAGGGAAAATTTGATCAAAACCGTCTCCTCCGTTTTCAGCGGCACGCTCAACATCCTTGTAAGTGTCAGCAGCCATAACGCAAATCAAACTAAATGCCTATATTCTATGGCTTTTGGTCTAATTTTCAAACTTGATTGAGTTTTTAACTAATCCTTACTTCGCTTAGGTGAACAATACTGGGAAGGTTATTGGTAAAACTGCCATAGAATTCACAGAAGAAGATATCTCAACTACAATGGCTGCTAATTTTGAGTCTGCGTACCATCTCTGTCAACTTTCCCACCCCTTGTTGAAAGCTTCAGGAAATGGGAATGTTATATTTATTTCCTCTATCGCAAGTGTTATGGCTACTTCCCAGTTTTCTTCTATCTATGCAGCATCTAAAGGTACATTTTAATTGAGATTGCAACACAAATTCCATAATTACGACTTCAAAATTCACTTGTCAAAACATTTTTCTTCCAGGTGCAATTAATCAAGTTACAAGAAACTTGGCATGTGAATGGGCAAGGGACAAGATTCGAGTTAATACAGTTGCACCAGGGATTATCGTAACCTCAACATTCAAGTCTATGATGGTATGAATCTCCCGAAAAAAAAAAAAAAAAAAAAAAAAAAAAATCTGCTCTACTTTTCTGCAGTCGTTGTTTGCTTTTCTTTTATAATTCGAGGTATTTCCGGAAATTGTAGTATTTGAATATGCATAATCACTTTTAATTTCCTGTTTCTCCGTAGGATGATCCTGATTTTGTGAATCTTATTGAGCAAATAATCTCTCGAAATCCTATGTACCGGGCAGGGCAGCCTGAGGAAGTTTCATCATCGGTGGCATTTCTTTGCCTCCCTGCTGCTTCATACATCACCGGACAAGTTATATTTGTTGATGGAGGATATACTGTGAATGGTTTCAGCTCAACTTATAACAAAAACAATTAAATCCTTCAACCCTGAAGATCTAAACCCTCAGATGGTCGACGCTTCTAAGTAAGGTTATAATTTGTCAGAAAACCAAGTTTGATGTAGTTTGTTTTATTATTGTTTTAAATGAACTTGTTTGCCAGATATGGTTTCAGTGGAATCCTAATGCATTCTTCTCGAGCAACTCAATTTACTCATCGTTTTCTGGAAAAGTGAATTTTTAACCCAATTTGAATTAATATAATTCTTTTCTTTTTTTTCTTTCTTTATAAACTAAACATATTTTTGACATTTGATATTTCTTTTAACACTAAATTCTCTCAAATTAAAAAATCATAATATTCTACATTTTAATCTTACAAAAAAAAAAAAAAATTCATCGTCATGGAAGTATTAGTATTTATGTGATTAAGTGTGAAAGGTATGGGCAGAAGTAGAGGTGTTCAAAAGAACCGGTTGGAACCAGAACTGGCGGGTACCCTGAGTTTGGTTCCGGTTCTTACCCAAAACCAGTCATCAATTGGTAGATTCCGGTTCCAAATTTTTGGAATCGGAACCAGGAACCAGGAACCGAGACTAATATATAAAATTAAAGACTAGGGGGGTTAATAAAAACTTTTGTAGAAAAAGTAATGTGAATACATTTATATTTATATTTCATAACATTTAAAGTAAGTTGGTTTGACTTTTGAGAATCTACCTTTACAAAGTAATTAATAGAGTTTGTAATTTTGAATTTATAATTTGTAATTTTATTTTTGTTAATAAGTGTCAGGGGGGTATTTGTAAGTTTTTAAGGGTTTCTTTGCCATTTTAAAAAGTTTTGGGGGGTCATGAATATTACAAGGTACCCAGAACCGAAACCAGAACCGTTGTTACAGGTTCTGGTTCTGGTTCTGGGTATCTAGGAACCGAAACCGTCGGTTCCGGTTTTGGTTCCAAATTTCAAGGAACCATCGGTTCTGGTTCTAGTTCCGGTTCCTTCAAAAAGTGTAGGGTACCCAGAACCGAACACCCCTAGGCAGAAGTGTTCAAAAATCTTATGAGAGGTCTTGCTTGTGAAGAAAATGGTTATTTTTTAATTTAACTTTTTTTAAATGATCAAGCCAATTTTTTCAAAAATTGAAGATAAAATTCATATTTTGTTAATATCAAGTAATTAGTAGATTATAATAAATGCTTTGTTATCAAAATTTACGTTAACAGAGCTCAATTCATATAATTTACATGAAAATTTCTAGTTCATATTGGGCAAGGCTGAAAATTATTACCGCATTTCCCTGTCTTCCATGGCTAGATTTAACTCCAGATTTTGTATTACACAAATAAATGGGCGGCAACTACCAACCTGTTATTTTCTTGCGGGTACCCACGTTTTGTTTAGGGGCGAAGAGAGATTAGAGGATCCGTTCAAATGGTGCCTGTCTTTCCCTCCGTATTTACTTAAAAGAGAAACCGGAGTGGACCATCCATGTCTATTAAAGACCATGCTGATACCAATAATTCACCAGTCCTTTCACCTTCATACACCCGTTTTTCTTCAAGTTTTCCATGTGGTTGCAGTATCTTCAATCGTTGTTTTACATAATAATTAAAAGATAGAGGCGTATCTAACTGAGAATCGACACAGTCCACATTACACAAATCAACATATATAAATTGATGTATTGTAAAGCAATATTTTTAGAACCACACGTTTCCGATGTTTATCCCCCTCTTTTCTCTCTCCATATAATCGATCACCTCTTGTAGAAAGATAACATGGCTGCACCAGAGACAATTGGCGCCAGGCATGAAAGATGGTCTCTGAAGGGGATGACTGCTCTCGTAACTGGTGGAACTAAAGGCATCGGGTGGGTGACTCTCCAATTTTTATGATAATGAATTACATAGTGGCTAACTAGTTAATTAACCTTCTTTTTGCTATTTGCTTTAGACATGCAATAGTAGAAGAACTAGCAGGATTTGGAGCAGCTGTTCACACTTGTTCTCGCAACCAAACGGAGGTTGATCAACGTTTGCAAGAATGGAAAAGCAAAGGTTTTACTGTAACCGGGTCTGTATGTGATGTGTTACACAGAAACCAAAGAGAAAAATTGATGGAAACTGTCTCTTCTCTCTTCCATGGGAAGCTCAATATCCTTGTAAGTCTAATTCCGGGGAGAGATGGTGAACAAAATTATAATGCACTCTAACAATGACTAATCAATTGGTGTAGGTGAACAATGCTGGAACGGTTATACTTAAAAATACCACAGATTTTACAGCAGAGGATATCTCGTTTATAATGGGTACCAATTTTGAGTCTTCTTATCATCTATGTCAACTAGCACATCCTCTTTTGAAGGCTTCAGGAAATGGAAGCATTGTATTTGTATCCTCAGTTTCTGGTGTGATTGCATGTCCATTGGTTTCAATCTATGCAGCAACTAAAGGTGAGTCCGCTTGTACATAAAGGGCACATTTTTGATGAATCTGACTCATTTGGAAATCATAAATTTGCNTTAGTGGGTCAAAAACTCAACTCCATGGGCCATGAATTGAATAACTGTTTTATAAAAACAGGCAGATGAAACGGATGGTTTATAAAATTTAATTCGAGATTGGCGAAATTATTATACATTTATTTAATTTTTATAATACTATATAGAATGATTTAGATAAGTGGAGCGATTATAAGCTTAAATTAATATTTACATTGTTGAAGGCATGATTCATTATGTCATTAAGTTTAATATCTAGAAACATTATTAATTAATCCAAAGACAAAGACTAAAAATCAAAGTCCACAAAAGGAAAATGACTCTGAAAGTGATTAAATCAATAGCTTAACGTTACCATTATCTTAATTTATTTCACAACTAGATGACTCATCTAATTAATTGCCTTCCCCATTTGAACTTTATAATTGCTTTATTTATTTCCAATTCCAATCATCAACAAACAAAAAAAAATTCAAAACAATGATTTGACATTTATTTATTTATTTTTGTGATTGGAGGTATTTGGGATCCTCGACGCCTTGAAGTTAACAGACGGGTAAAACTTCTAGTGGTTTTAGACCGGTAAACCCTCAAATAGTTACCTTATTAGCAACGGAGAGAAATTAAACTCAAAACCTTTTGTTCAAAAGTCTATATCGCACCATCAGCCACTCTTGTAATTGAGTATCCCATCTATATAAACCCAATATTATAGACACAATTCTTCTAAAAATATATATTTTATATGCAAATAGCCAAATATTGTAAGAAAAATATTTAAATATGTCAAAGGAAAAGTATTCCAATGAATTGATGATAAAAATGATCAAGTTGGATATGAAGAGTTGATAGAGAAATAAAATTCAAATGAATAAATAATAGAAAGTTCGAGGCTTCATTGTCTCTTCAGGCTTTACCTAACCCTCTCCACAATAACACACTAAAGTCTCCTCAACGCACACCGTTTTTTGGCTTTTGCTTAGGACTTGGCGTTTTTTTTTTGAACTTTATCTTTTAAGGCCCACGTTCACATTTACTTCTATGGTCACGCGCGTAGTGGACCCACTAACCTATATAATTAGGCCATAACATAGTCCAGGACCATTCAGGTCCATTTCAACAGGAAGTTGGGGTATCCCATGGGAGTTATGGAACATGCTTCTCTTTTTATGAGCCTATAAAACATTCACTTTTTTGTTCTGTCATTAATGTCAATTTGCATTCACATGTGAAAATTGAAACACGAAAATTCATGCAACTGCGGATAAGGAATGAGAATGAGTGGGCATTTCCATGGGGATGATGATCAGTTGATGGACCAACATAATATTACATCCCTTTCCTTTTTTCCACCATTAAACTTTCCAGAACAAACCATCTTTATTCGTTGCATAAAGCCTGCATTTTTATTTGGGACTAAACCAAACCATAATCATAATTAAGAAAGGTGAGAACGGAAGCCTGTGTCCCAGTCTGAGTCTGGGCATTTTCAGCATGGGAAATAGTATTTTAATATATAAAGTTGATATAACGAAATCTTGTAGCATTTAAGCCATATCTGAATAGACAAATGGATGCAGAGGGTTTACCTGTACAGCGGGGCCGGGCTGATGACGTTGAGGAGTACGCGTGCACAGGAAAAAAAAATGTCACCATCCATCTCAGGCTCTCAGCTCTTCTGACTTTCATCCAAACCCAACCTATTTAAATAAAGGAGAAAAAGGGTCTCCTCCCTTAAAACATCTTCTACAGCCACATTGATTCAATTATAGGAGGGACCAGACCCCTTGAGTTGAACTTGAAGGTTCATTATTAATCTCCCCGGCCTAGAAGAAACTGAAATGAATGATCACGATATCAAGATTCAAGCTGCTGATGTTTACACGAAATTTGTATTATTATTTATTATTATTTTTCTGATTTTTTGCAAGTGAAATGATCGCTGCTATAGGAATCATGCGCTTTTATTCCTGTTTGATATAATTTATATACAGTTTTTTTGTTATTTAAACAAGAGATGCAACAAATCTCACTGAAAATGCATTTAGTACAAACTAATTGAAATACTTTTGAAAATAATTTTCGGATAGAATGCTAAAACTAGTGAATTTAGAACGGTTTAAAAACCTTTTTTAATAGTTTTCTATAGTTTTTTAAATAAAAAACACAATATTAAATACATCTGAAAAAAAAAGAGGTCATATTCTAGTTTTTGAAAATTATTTTTAGATTACAAGTCAAACGCATCAATTGCCAAACAAATAATAACAATCTCATTTTTCCAAGAAACATATACATATTTATAAGAGTAATATTAGAACTAATAATCAGAAATGACAACAACAAAAACGAGTTCAAAATCAATATCTTCCTTGTTTTCGATGGTTTTGAGGTCTGGCTCGTTAGTAACCCCAAGCTGGTCTCGTGTTCGAATGAAGTGATACCTTACACATTTGTGCAATTATCTTAACTTATGGGCTTGTAAATATTTTCAGTATCATGAAGTGGCCCGGATACCTCAATTAATTTATTGTTTTTCAATTCCTTTGTATGATCATTTTACGTTTAAAAATTCTAAATCATATTCAGTTATGTTTCTAATCTCAAAACATTATATAATATCTCTCCGCTTTTATGTTCCCTACAAATCACTTTTTTTTTTTTTTTTTTGGAATGTATTTAATAATCAAACTTTTTTTTTTTCATGAATAATTAAGGAATTTTTGTTATGAATCACTTGCATCTTTAACGAATTAAAACTAAGGTATTTTCCATAGATAATAAATATATTATTACAACCTATTTATTTAAAATAGAAGAACATAATTGAAAAAATTTTCCCTTTTGTTACATTTTATTTATATAATATCTGACTGGAAGAAAGACTTGATCGACCTAGCCCATTTTATAAGGGGCGGATTAGATGAAGGCTTTACGGCTTGACGCGATACACGTCGCATAACCTGAACTCAGTTTAATGAATGAATGATGAAGCGTGTGGAAAAAAGTTAATAAATGAAAATAGTAACTTATTACAATGACGATAATTCGACACGTGGCTAGAGCTAGGAATAATGCAGATTTTTTAACGGAATAAACTATGTGCCGACGTACTTGAGATTTCATTATTAATATGACAATGTATAAAAACATAAAGTAGGACAATCATTTTAATATCCAAGTATCATTTATTTGAAGAGTAAACGACTTTTTCTCTTCCAATAAATTTTAAAATGCCATTTTTTACCGAATTAGTATTATGTTACTATTTAAAGTTGATTCTGTCTATTCTGACAGTGAAAATTATTTTTATCAACATCATTTGAACTAAGAGGTATGCAAAAGAATCCAATATCTGATATCCAGTTCATATCTGATCCAAAAAAACTAGATATCCAAAAATTTGGATCAGATTCGGATATCAATTTTTGGAATATCCGAATTTCAGATCGGCTCTACAAAGAAATCGGATATTCGAATCCGATCCTGTTTTGTCCATAATTACAAGTTTTAAGAAGTTATTTTGGGGTCTTATGTGAAAAGTGGTAAAGTAGGTGGACTATTTAGAAATACGATGAAAACTTTGGGGTCAAAATGTAATAAAATGATGATGTGGTAGGGGTTAAAAAGAATAATGCAAAATTTTAGGGGATAAATTGACATTTTTCATACAAATTGGGATAAAACTGGATATCCGGTTTATTCGATTCGAATATTCGGATCAGATTAAAACCGGATCAGACGAAATCCAGATTAGATTCGGATCGGATCAGAAAAATGCAAAACCAGATCGGATAACCGGTTTTGCACACCCCTAATTTGAACCTTCGGTCTCCTCTATACAAAACACCTTTTACTCTGACGATTGATTTTACATTGATTGTTGGCCACCGCAAAATTAAAGTTTCATGTTCTTAACTAATTTCTGACTGATTTCAACGACGAATATCCAATTGGTTACCACCATTCTATCCACGGACCTTCACTTTAAAAAACTCTTTTTGCTCTGACTCTTGGTAATTCGTCAGACGCTGATTGAAAAAGTGAAGTATCCTATGACGATAATTTGACACGTGGCTACAGATAGGAATAATGCAGATATTTTAACTTGTGCCGACGTACTTGAGATTGCATTATTAATATGACCATGATTAAAAATGTAAAGTAGGACCATCATTGTAATACCCAAATATCATTTACTTTACGCATATAATAAGTCAGTCATTGTTTCAATTTAAATTATTTTTATTCTGTTCTCATATACTAAGCAAGAGACAATCTTTAACGTGTGTTTTATTGGTTACTAATATATATAAATTATACATACAATAATGCGTGGAGGTTAAAGGCTTATAGGTAATCAATTTTTCTGTCCCATTTGAAAGAAATTGTAATACAGACGATCCAAAATGATTTAAGAAATTTATTGTGCAAGTTATTATTATAAATAGGAAGTCGGTAATAATTAATAGAGAAGGGTGTTTGGATGTGCGTACGTAAGCAATGTCAGAAGCAAAGAATATATGGAGGAGGTTTACGGCCGACAAAATGAAAACAAGTGATGGTTATTGCTGCCTTGGCCGCAACAATTTCTCAGACTTCCACCCACGTGTCTCTTTCTCTTTGGAATCACGAGGTGAAACTGAAAAAATAACCCTAACCCATCCTCCTATCATTGCCCTTTTTGTCAGTAACACTTATGCCTTCCATTTACATTAATTTGCTTTGTATTAATCTCATCCCATGATTGAAATTCCTCGCATTCACCGACTAATTAAAGAACTTCAAAAACCCAATTATAACTCCCTTCACATTCACTCAACATCCTTCCTTTCTTTCTTACGTGTAATGTGCATGCATGCTCTTTTAAAGTAGCAACACAATAACCCTTTCTCTGTTCACAACAATAAATAAATGGTTTTTTCTTGGAACAAAACAAAGCCTGAAACTGGAGTCATGAACACAAAAATGGAGTAACAGCTTTTTACCAA